ATTATGAGTTCATGACCTCTTTAGTAATTACTCGATTCAAACAATATTATCTCTTTTGGACTTATGTCCAACACCAATTCGTGAACCTATCCATGCCCCCTTAAATTTTATTTGTTATGACAATCAGTTTCAGATTAATTTCTTTGAAACATACATTTCTGATCATGTCTAGCTATCCATATCGATGTTTCTTGCGGTTCGTATTTTTCCAATATTCTTTTGCTAAATTCATCGATTTTATTGTTCAAAGAACTATACTGTAAAAGTAGAATAATGCAGAAATAGAGTTAGTATTAATCAAGTTATATATAAAGGCGGGATATCCAGCCTTTAAGACATCATCTTTAATAAAAAAAAAGAATAAAAATTAATCTTTTTTTCTGTAACTCCTTCTTTCCTTTGATTATCTTCAAACCTTACATACAAAATAGTGAATGACATTCACAAAAAATAATCCATAATTCGTCTGGGATATTGTGGGCAGAAACTAAGTCTAACCTTTGATTTTCAATATTGTAGTATTTGGTTAGCTGAAACTATTTGGGCTATTATTTCCGAAATAACCTTTTTGGCACGCCTTCTGTAGTCTAGCTAGACTCTTTTTGTTGCTGGTAATCAGAAACCTCCTTTGAATTACCTCTAAATTAGATAGTAAATATATGTAAAGGCTGATTTGCGCACAAATCACCATATGAACTTTAGGAAACCCTTTAATTGTAAAACATTCAGTCTTGCCTTTAACTTATCTTGTACCACTTGCCCTCTAAACCCAATTCCTGGAAATGTGCTATAGTATAACTTCCAAGATATTCGCGCATTCCTGAGAAAGCTTCGAGCACACACCTACATATGAAATATATGATTTGTCAAAATGTATTAAGTGATTTAATCTTTTTTTAAACATGCACATATTTTGAATAAATATTTATATCAAGAGTTTATTATATATTTCTAGATTTGGTTTTGCACAAAAATTTTCACTGTATATCAACTTTAATAAAACTAGCTTGTATAATATATATAAAAATTTATAAATAAATTTGATTATTTATACATAATTTAAAGTAATAGATAAAGCTCCGTTCGGGTGCTATTTTTCAATCCGAAAAAATCGTTTGGGTTTCGGTTCGTTCCGGGTTTGCATCGGATCCGAAACGGTATAATTCGGCCGGTTCGAATCGATCCAATTTTTTATTAACAGATCGTCATTGTGAGTGCACTCAGTAGACAAAAGCTCGGATCTTTGGTGCGCCACTGCTGAAATTTAACCCTTTCGCTTTTGGTCATTATTAATTTGTTGATTTTCTTGCAAGTTCTCATTATCTCGTGTGTATACCAATATTGAAATCTGTTTTTTATCACCAAGAATTAAATCATTAATAAAATAATATATGGGTCAGTGCAAAAAGATTTGTACCTCAGATAAACATCAATAGATTATTTTTTCAAAATAAAATTTCTTATTTAATTAAGTTATTAGGTATTGAAATTTATTTAAATGCAAAAATTTTTATTATATATCTTTTATAAAAAAGTTTTTACTAATAATAATTTTTCCAATTATTATTTCTTAAATTTTACTATATAAATTTGATTAAAATTAATATAAAAATTATATTGTAAATAATTTAATTACTCGACTTTGAACCTTAATATCTTTATAACTACTGATTCAATTTTTATGTAATTAAGAATATTTATCAAATCTAGGGCAACCTGCTTGTATAATTTGAAGTTCTAATATTGCAAATTGATAGTGATAATATTTAAAATGTCTTTTTTTTAAAAAAATAATTTTATTATATTTTTTTTTAGTAAAGTAATGCTACATTTATTATTGAATTAAAGTATAATATAATAGTTAAAAATAGTTAAAAATAGTTAAAATAATATAAAAAATTAATTTAGATCATTTTTTATTTAATATAATAAAATTATAAAGATTGGTTAAAATTTGAATGATTTTTATTAGAAGTAATTATTAATTTTTATATTGAGGTACAAATCTTTTTGCACTGACCCACCCATAATATCTATATCAAATTCAGTGCTACATATTCTAAACAAGTATTGATATAAACTTTAATATTTTTATAAAACAACATAGTTTTTATATATTATTTTACCTTCATTTGAAAATACAACCTAACAAAATTTGACATAAATCCATAAATATGTTGAAAGGTTAATATCATTTATATTTAGAAACAAAACATTACTATTTTAGAATCAACTTTCCAGTAAAACGCCGACCTACTTGACATAACATTTATTAGCTTGATAGGCTAGATTATTCAAACAATATTGAAAAATAGCAAACTTTCCTGATCCACATTCGGCAAAAACTTTGCTCGTGTAAGCTGCCAAGGGATGTGTCGTGTAACTTTTTTGGAATCATATTTAGATGATTTTGCAATTCTAACTTTCTCGGCGGCGTTTATTTGTTGTTTTCCGTTTTGATAGTTCGTCTCGATGCTATTGTGAACAATGTCGCATATCTCTTTAGAAGTTGGCCTTTATAAGGGATTTTGATGCCAACATCGAAAATCAAGTTGCGGTAAAAGTCAGATAAACCTCTGGTAATTTTAGTCGCTATCATGTATTTAATTATCGGATCAATCGAACCCGACCCGACGAGAAAATTATCGTTTCAGATCGTTTCGGATTTGGATCGAAATCGATCCGGTCAATGTCTAACCCGAACCGAACCGAACGAGCTTTAGTAATAGGTTGAATAGTGCACATTAAAATTCTATGCTAAACAAATTTCGAAATATATCTAGCAAAAAATTCCAATATTTCTGTATTAAATGAAAGAATCAAATAGTACAAAAAATTTTTGAAGCAAGGTTATTATTTTGAATAATGCAAGATAATAATCATAGGTTGTCTTTATCGATAAGAATTCTTTAATTAACATTAGATAGTGTACAGGCTCCAAGACATGACGTTATTATACCTTAAATTCGAAAAACTATATTTTTAGTTTGAGTTAAAATGTGCATATACATGTTGAGTATCGGCACTTTTTTGATCCCAACGAATAAGAAAAATTATTACTAAATAAAAATGGCACCCGAACTGTTATTAACTTCGCACATGAACAGAAACTACGAATTCTATAAAAATGTCAATTATTGTGAAGTTTCAATCATTGTTGGAGAAGACCAAAATACCCAAGGTACTTTTTCTGCCCATTCGACATTCATAATAGCGCAATCGCAATATATAAAACAGCATTTTCTGATAATTGGGTGAAGCGAGAACAAAATAAGGTCATCTTTAAGAAACCGAATATTGAACCTCAAGTTTTTGAAATATTATATAAAGTAATTTCATGATAAGGAATAAGCAATATGATTAAAAATAAAAGTATAATGAAAATTTAATAGATATATTTACAAAACTATAGTGTTTCGACACTCTTGGATTTATTAGTCGAAGCCGATGAGTTGGTTCTTGAGGATCTGATTGAATATATCCAAATTTATCTTCTCGAACACCATGCTAAATCTATGACAGAGAGTTTGGCTTTAATCAACCAAATAATATTCGAGCAAAGCTCTTACAAACTTCATAAATTTTACACAAGATATCGCATATCAAAATCTAGCTGCTATTTTTAAATCAAATGATTTCACGAAACTACACGAATCAGTTCTCGTTTGTTTACTCAAACGTGATGATCTAAATTTGAATGAAATCGACATTTGGGAAAGGTGCTTCAATGGGGAATTTCTCAAGCTACAAATACAGATGAAGTTGATCTAACGCTTCCAACAGAAAAATGGACAGAAAGCGAATTTATGCAACCCAAATTTATACTCAAAAATTGTTTACAATTTATTCGTTTTTTCCATATTAATTCTGCTGATTTTATGACAAGATCATGCCATATGCCGTGATTTTATCACGATCAGGAATAATATATAAAGATTTGCTACATCATTATTCACTGCCAGAAAGTGAAGAACATAAAGCTACCTTACACCCATTTTGTAAAGTGATTCTTCAATACTTTCTCAGGATCAGGTCATTAGAATAATTAACTGGATTAAAGAAAAAGAAAACAAACAGAAAAGTAGATCGATTGAATATAAACTGTTACTGCGAGGTAGTCGTAATGGATTTAAGAATACATGTACATGTACCTGTACGTCACAAGAGTTATCATGTGATATTGATTTTCTTTTTTAATGTAGCTTGCTTTGTAATTATCTAATAATTTCTTTCATAAATTATCAAAATTTTCTCTAATGAATTATCATATAGAACAAATAAAGCGAGCTTTAAAACCCTAATTCATATAATTGTTTTGTATAAAAATTACCTTTATGCAATTATTTTTGATTCACTAAGGTCCAATCTGCACCCATGAATTTAATTCATAATTAGGTCCTTTGTTCCAGAAATGCATATGTTATTGCACTTGATTTGGTCAAACAATTTGTTAACGTAACTATAAAAAGCAATGTTAGGACTTGTTAATAAAAGTTATCATAACAGGTTAAAGCTATTAATCTCTTCCAACCGGTTAAGAATGTTCTCAAAGTGATTAATCATGGTTAAGTATTATTTTTATTTAGAAAATTTTTGGTTTCACCACATTCGGATCAAACCATACTGAACGTCTTTCAATTAATTACAATTGATTTCCATATAAAGAAATAAATATAAACCGGTTAACCGGTTCTAACCTCTTAAATTAATTGGTTAACCAGATAAGAAAATTTAACCGTGTTAATTATAAAGAATTCCTTAAAAATAGTTAAAATAATTGTAATAAAAGACTTATGAAATCATATTACCTTTTCACCCGTAAATCCATTAATAATGATATCCGCAGCTATCGACACAGGCATTATTATCATGTTTATATTGTATGATTCTCTATAACATGATTGCGAAAAAAGAAGTAAACTAACATGTATTATTCATAATTGTTCGATCTGATTTATTTATAAATACACCGCTCCAAAAAATATAATCAATTTAACAACATGAAGAATCTTTATTTATTTGTTCTCGTTATTGCCACTTACAGCAATCTCGCATTTATTACAGCTCTAAAATGGCGAAGAGAGACATCATTTGATGACCTCTATAGCAGGTCGCAAAATGAAATATTCAACAGAAACGCAACAAAAGTCAGCTGTGACAGTGATGTTGATTGTGGAGACGATATTTGCACTAGCGATGGTTCATGTTCCTCTGGATCCTCGGATTGCACAATCAGTAGTTCATGTAACTCTGGAGTAACGGGCGTAGTTTGCACTACTTATAGTTCATGTGTAGCAACAACACCACCAACGGCACTACCAACAGTAACCAGATTACCAAATATAGGATCTACTATAGAAATGAATCTACTGGCTACATCAATGACAATAATCCTAGTTCTTGTTTCTTTAGTTCTGATATACATGTAATTCATGTATATATTTTTAAAATGTGGATACGAGCCAAACCTAATGAGTTTGGAACTTTGGTCAAATCCCCAAATGCATGTAGTATTATCTAGTTTCACAAACCACTTTTCATTTGTCATGTTATCAAACATTTCGGCATGTAATAGTCGTTGAGACTTATGATCCAACCGTTTCGGAATGTAAATACATGTACATGTAGCAATTTCGACTTATAAAAAATTCGTGTTCTACTTATAATTTTGGTTATAATTCCAATGTTTCGATATGTAAATAATGGTTTTGACATATAATTCATAATCGAGTACGGTATAGCGTTACATACAGTACCTCAAGTATTATCCTTTAAACTTGTAGAGTATCCGGCAAATACTATGTGAGTTAAATATTGCTTCGAAACTTTACATTTGCGTATATTACTTTTTTTTATAAGGAATATGCATGAAAATGCATGTTTATAGTAATTATGTGAATAAATTTTTCATTATATCTTTACATTTTTGCAACATATGGTAAAGGAGTATTATGGCGAAGAGATATTTTTAATAATATAATATTCTTGATTAAAATTTACTATTATTTTAAGAATTCTGATAATTATCCATTGAATTATCAGTTAAATTATCAAGTTTATCATTATTATTAATAACTAACTATAAATAAATAAAATAATAATTAATTATATTAATATATAAAAATAAATCAATTACAAATCTCATTACTTCCAGAATTATCATAGCTATAGCACATTTTCTTGCAGCTCGCTTGGCACTCATAACTTCAATAAAAATCCACTATTTTTATCCTAGTCAAAGATGACCAACTAGTATAATAGTCATCATATTTTACATCTAAAAAGTTTCGCCTAGTGTATGTTTAAAATTAAAAGAATAAAAAATTAAGGTCAACAACAACAAAAAGTGGAAAAATACGACGCATATACTTTTCCATGTTGTTACTTTCGTGACGACTGTACATTTACATCTTGTATTAGACATCTTGCAATGGAATATGTTATCAAGTAATGTTTCCGGATAAATTTTGTATTGGAACTTTTCCCTATTCTATCTTTTACCTAGCAGGCAACTTCGAATCAAATAATTTACATTTTCAGTAATACAGCTCTTTAGAATATTCTAAAACTGATGAGATTAAAGAGTGCCTCAAACAAGAAAGCTAAAATAGCAAAAAAGCACTAGAAATGCGAACAAAACCAGCAAATTACAAAGTCAAATTTTACTTCAAAATTAATACTGTATCAATAAAACTGCTACATTTTATTTTATATTCGATCAAAATGGAATTTCAGTTTACTGAATTAACAACACCACAAAATATCGATATGATTTAGGAATCGATGTTAAATCAACAAACGTACAGTTTATATGTACAAACGATGCTGTATCCAAATTTTTTTGCTCGAGTATCAATCTGCTATTGTAGATATCACGTGAAAATCAGTTGTTAGGAAATTATGAAATTTGGAAAAATTTGGATTATTGAGAAAATTTGGATCCAAAATTTTCCAGGTCCCTGCTACCACTAGAGTGCTGCCGCCTTCTCGGATGATGACGACAACAATGGTCACGAAAACGATTGATTTTTTGACACTCTTGTCTCTATTATGTTTTCCTTTCTAAAATTTGAATAATTATTGAATGCAGGTTATACAATAATAATTGCACCCTTTGCTCATGTATTTTGTGACTTCAATTATTGGCTTTTGCAAACAAAAGTGGTATTCAAACACTGATCATCTACGCCTTTTATGTATTGCAATCTAAATTCTTGATATGACCTAAAAAAGGTTCAGTGAAAATTTGGGTTATGGGGGAGGTAGTACCGAAATAACATGTGCCCTCCTTTAAATTCATATTTCATTCAGCAGCCGTAATGATCAAAGAGCTGTGGAAAGGAGCTTGCAAAGATTAATCAAATCCCAATTGTAAATAATGCATGGACATAAAAGTTCAATATTTTCTGTTAGTTTTTTTGCATTTTCATTTGTCGTATTTATATTGTATGTGTCGCAATATAATAATGTATCCGTCAAGTCTGTAAATTCGAAAAATATATCACGGATTGTTGGCGTTGACCAAGAACATCAATTCTTGGATAATTTTGGTAGGCAGAAATTCTTTCGCGGTTTAAATGTGGTGAGTTGAAAGCACTTTGTCTTTAGATAAAATAATTTTGATTTAATGTCAACACCAAAATTGATCTCTGTCATTGCATTTAGGTCTATAAAGGAGCACCATATTATCCGGTAGTTGATAAATTCAATGCAACTGCATCATTTACTGAAAAAGACGCACAAGTATGTTACGATTCTTTTTTAATATTAAAATTCACATTATACAATTTTTTAAGTAAATAAATTAATCCATTGGTATGTTTTAGATACTACAATCAGTTAATATGAATGTAATCCGATTAGGCGTACTATGGGCAGGCGTCGAGCCAATTCGAGGAAAATACAATGACACATATTTGGATATAATTCGTGGTATCGTAGATAATTGCAAAAAGTATGGAATATATGTGTTGTTGGATTCTCATCAGGTAAATAAGTTTGTTTTGATGCTCGTTATTTTTTAATCGGATATTATGACTTATACGATTGTTTATTAGGATATTATGTCGCAAAAGTTTTGCGGTGATGGGGTAAATTTCAAAGAATAAAAATAAAATTCTTAAGTATGATATTTACAATTTTTTCTAATCTTTGTAGTTTCCAAATTGGGCATCTATGCCTGGTTTGCTTCCATTTCCACTTCCAGTTCACTTACCCATACCTTTTAAAGACGGAAATCCAATTCCAGATAGATGTCCATTAAATTGGGCATCTCTATACGAGAGTAATGCCGTCTCCGTTGCCTGGCAAAATCTTTACGACAATCATAATGGTCTTTTAAATGCGTTTGCCGCACAATGGGCTTACATTGCCCAAAAATTTAAAGACGTTGATAATGTGCTTGGATATGATATTATCAATGAACCATGGGCGGGAAATGTATTTGCAGATCCGAAACTTTATGATCCGAAAAGTAAGTTTTAAATTAATATCAATACCTTTTAAGGACACACTTAAAATTAATTTATTCCTCGTTTCCTTTTAGTTGCCGAAAAGAATAATATTCAAAGATTACTTGAAAAAGTAAATACTGCTATAAGAAAAGTAGACGATAAAACGGTCCTTTTCTATGCAGGTGTAACTTGGGATAATTTTGGCAATGAGCTCTCTGTTCCCGGTGGAGATAACTACAAAAATAGGAGCGCATTAAGCTATCATTATTATCAGCTTCCTCAATTCACAGGTGCTGAAGTTCAGTTTGTAAAGAAAACAGAAGATATCAATAGGGCTGGTGGCGGTCAGTTGGTAAATGAATGTTTATGTATTTTATTTTTAAGCATGAATTTACAAGACTTAAATAATTTTGTGTATGTTTTACAAGCTTACTGAATTTGATGCATCGTGGAATAGCGGAAAAAATATCGCTGATCTCCTCGACCTTACCCAGAAAGCTGATAAATATCTTGTCTCTTGGATCGGTTGGCAATATAAAGATTTCGGTTCGTTACGTCTCTCCCTTCGACCAGGCGTCAGCGACGAAGGTCTCATAAACAAGGACACCGGTGAAATACGTCCCGAAATGGCAAAACTATTTTCACGTACATATCCAGAATCGGTCGCCGGAAAAACTCAAAAATATTTCTTTAATGATACCGATAGTCATTTCTATTTGCTTTATCAGATAGATCCGTCTATAAAAGCACCGACAGTGATTCGAGTTCAGACTTTGTATCATTATCCTAAAGGGTTGCATGTTACAGTTAGTCCTGCGGAAAAAGTTAATATTACGCAGGATGTAAATTTAGTGTATCTTGATGCTGTGGAAGGAAAAGCACAGAAGGATGATTTAATAACCGTTAATATCATAACAAAACAATAAGGAAAATTAATGAGCTACTAAAGATTCCCAAACTGATTCTATTTTTTTATTACTTGCATTAGATTCTCTAATGGATAAAATGCAGGAATTCCATTAACTTGCATATGTATATGCATGTCTAACATCACATTTTCTAGTTTGACTACAAATATCATATTAATAAATCTCATTATTAAATGAAAATCAAGACAGTTTGGGGAATTTATTAGATTCTTCGCGTCGGACAGATATTAATGGAAATTTACAAAGCATTTATTTACTACATGAACTTTTAGGTAATCTTTGGAATTTACGAGCAATTATTATTTTTAAGAATGATGGGCACATTATTGGACAGCAGTCGAATCTTGATAAACTGAGCACTAATTAAAGTTGGTTCCAGTGATCCCCGGGTTTTCTGTACAATGGAGTGTATTATTTGATTGAGAACAATGTCCGTCTTTTAATCAGCCTGTCAAAATTTGCTTGAATTTATATCTTTCTTGAATCTACAGTTCGCATTAACAATAATGAAACCATCACAAATTATTACGACATATGTTGTTATTATGACTAAACTCTTCTGTCTCGGTGATGTCATATTAACGGAGTAGACTGTATGCTCTTTCTTGGAATGTCAAATTATAAATTATGCCTTGTGACACGATCTAAATAATTGATAAGCGTGTTGAAAAGGAAGAATTCCATTTTTTTTATTAATAATACGTTAAAAAAACTCGTATTATTTCAAAAATTTTTATCTTCGTTATCTAATTTATGGAAAGTCTCTTATAATTAGTGAGGTTTTTCTTTCCAATTTAAGACGATATTTAATTTCCTGGACATTCTAAAGAGTCAAATATTGAGAATGCAAATTATTTGGTTCTCACCAATTATAGTTAACATCTTAAATGGATTTGAAGAAGTTTGTTTTCTGGAATAGGATCCTACATTTCATAATAATAAATTTGCACGGTATCATATAGGTCGTACTCCACATAAATGTCTAATATGAGATCTTTAACATGACTCCGTTCACTGAATGGTGGTTCACAAGTTACAAATCTCGTACATAACCATTCTAAAGCTATAAACATCTGCAGCGTTAGTGTATGGCTTTCAATTTTGCATTTTTGGGCTCATATAAGGAACTACTCCACAAATTTCTTGTTAGACTTTCTATAAATATATTTGTTGCTAAGTCCAAACTCAGCATATTAATATATTCCAATGATGAAAGTCACGATGAACAAATTTTAAGTAATTTTTCGCAGTTGTAATTACATGTAATACATATCTCATGTATATTGAGATTAAAGATGGATGGATATATTTAGAATTTCGTCAACATATATTTTAAATGATTGTTGTTATTACGTGGTTGTTAAATTTTTGTTTAAATATAAGGAACAAATTAAATATTAAGGTAAAAATCAGATGGTTTGAATTTATAAAATATTATACTTTAGTGGTATTACATATAAAAATTTTATAAATACGCATTTGGTAGTTTTAGATCTTGGTTTTTCCCTTTATTTAATTGACGTTTTCACAAATGGAATTTATATAAAAAGCTAAAATAGTAATTTGATATGGCAAAAGCAATAAATATTCAATTTATTTCGTTCATATAAAAGATAGTGATTTGTGTATTTGCATGTAATTCAGATGGCAATTGGATATGTAAATCAGTTCATATACCAAATTCCAATACGAAAATAGTTTACACTGCTGCGCTATTGTTGTGTTAAAAAGTACACCTAATAATACGAATTAACAATTGATAAGGGCTACAGCTACGCACGTAATATCGCTATAAATTTCATAATGATAAAATTTATGTTAAAAACAATTTTTATAAAACATAATTAATGTTACTGTCGTTAAATATGAGTAGAATTAAAAATTCAATTACACTTTTTATCTATTCGAATTGTGATTTATTGAATGGAAATGAAATCTTTCCCCGTTTATTTTGATTCCTCAGACACGTTTTCAATAGGACGTTTATTATTCGTTTTATGATCTTAAAAGTATAATTGTCATCATAGTCGTCGTTAAAGAAACATAAACAAAAATTAATTTAGAATTAATCTGATAAATTTATCTTACCTTTATTTGCTTCGTTTTGAATATATAAACTCATACTTTTACATTTGATATCGATATCTATATCATATTCAGTAGTTACATATTCCAGAGTTATATGTAAACAAGGCTTCAATATTTTAATGAGATAACAAGAAAAGACAAATAACGTTTAATTACTTTGTATTTACGCGTTTTATTATTTCAAACATTACTTTTACCAAATTATAAATTATAAAAAAAAATAAATTTTATTTAGCCATCCACGTTTTCATTTCAATTTATTGCTCTTGGCTATAGTTAATATTCATCTAAATTTCGTTTATAGACCAAAGTCACGTCAATCTTATGCGCGAATTATTAAATAAAAAACATTTAAAAACTCTTTAACTTCGAAAAAGGGTCAATGATCATAATCTTTATTGTTATATAATACAATGAAAACATACTAAAATTATATGAACACGTCTATAATGTAAAATTGAAACTTAACAAATTTTACTCTTTACAATCTTTAGTGATACTTACTTATACATAACTATATATTTTGCATGTGTTTTATTACATATTTTGAGTATATATTCGGGATTTTGGTAAGTCGGAATTTTGGGCATTTGGGACGTTTGGACGTTTGAAATTTTAGAACATTCGGGATGTTGACATTTCAGATTTTGGGTATTTGAGATATTGGCATTTAGGTATTTTAGGCGTCGGGATTTTGTGATAGATCCATTATGATAACAATTGTTTTTAGCGACCTCTTCATTTACTGGTTTTTATATTCCTTCTAATTTCGAAGTCTGTGAATAACTACTTTCTTAGTTACACGTTTCATGATTTTCTTTCTCGAATGAAGTCAGGTTTAGATATTTGAACACGTTACACATATTTATTTTCGACACAAATATATACACTTTTTCTCTTGCACCACTGATTCTGCACCTTCACTTAAACCACACACTTTTATCTGGCTTGTCAAGTATCCTGCAGTTATGACGTTCCGAGATAAAATTATCCAACTTAAATAATAAACTACTTATAATATAAATATATATGTTAATATAATAAATCAAATGCTTAGAAATTTTATTTATTTGCTTTAATTTGAAATCTATAATCTCAAAAAATAACTAAATTATATATAGAATTATATAATCAAGATCTAATAGTATAATCAGATATTATATAAAAAAATAGAATTATAGTACTGTATATAAATAGAAAAATCAATTTAATATTCAAATAAAAAGATATAATACTATTATTCAAATATAAAACAGAATATCAAAATATTTATAATAATATTAAATTATTAATATTGAACAAACAAAGATTTTTGCTTAATAATCTGTTAGATTATATATCTCAATATTAATATAAAATTTAATTATTATTAACTTTATTAAGACCTTGATTAATAATAATTCTAATTCTAATACTAGTTTATATAAAAAAAGCTTTAAAAATATAATTATTATCAATATAATTTATAATATAAGATATAAAAAGTATATTTCTAAAATAAATTTGGCAGTATTTATAATCAAGTATTTTTTAATACATTCTAAAATTATTATTAATATTGATAATTATATTATTAATATAATTTATAATATAAGATATAAAAAGTATATTTCTAAAATAAATTTGGCAGTATTTATAATCAAGTATTTTTT